TTTGATGAGGCACAAGGCCGAATGTGTAGGGTAGGGTAGGATCGAACTCATTACTCAGTCGTAATTGTTCTAGTGAGACAAGCTTGTTAACCATTACATCACGTCGAAGTGCCCCTTAAAAGATTTTCTATGCGTAGCTTAGATGCAGCACAAGGCCGAAAGTGTGAAGCAGTCAGTGAGGATCGAACTCATTACTCAGTCGTAATTGTTCTAGTGAGAAAAGCTTGTTAACCATTACATCACGTCGAAGTGCCCCTTAAAAGATTTTATATGCGTAGCTTAGATGCGGCACAAGGCCGAAAGTGTGAAGCACTCAGTGAGGATCGAACTCACTACTCAGTCGTAATTTTTCTAGTGAGAAAACATTAACCATTACATCACGTCGAAGTGCCCCTTAAAAAGATTTTCTATGCGTAGCTTAGATGCGGCACAAGGCCGAAAGTGTGAAGCACTCAGTGAGGATCGAACTCATTACTCAGTCGTAATTGTTCTAGTGAGAAAAGCTTGTTAACCATTACATCACGTCGAAGTGCCCCTTAAAAGATTTTATATGCGTAGCTTAGATGCGGCACAAGGCCGAAAGTGTGAAGCACTCAGTGAGAATCGAACTCACTACTCAGTCGTAATTGTTCTAGTGAGAAAAGCTTGTTAACCATTACATCACGTCGAAGTGCCCCTTAAAAGATTTTATATGCGTAGCTTAGATGCGGCACAAGGCCGAAAGTGTGAAGCACTCAGTGAGGATCGAACTCACTACTCAGTCGTAATTGTTCTAGTGGTTAACCATTACATCGTCGAATTGTTCTAGATGAGAAAAGCTTGTTAACCATTACATCATTGTTCGTGAGAAAGTGTTAACCATTACATCACGTCGAAGTGCCCTTAAAAGATTTTCTATGCGTAGCTTAGATGCGGCACAAGGCCGAAAGTGTGAAGCCCTCAGTGAGAATCGAACTCACTACTCAGTCGTAATTGTTCCAGTGAGAAAAGCTTGTTAACCATTACATCACGTCGAAGTGCCCCTTAAAAGATTTTCTATGCGTAGCTTAGATGCGGCACAAGGCCGAAAGTGTGAAGCACTCAGTGAGGATCGAACTCACTACTCAGTCGTAATTGTTCTAGTGAGACAAGCTTGTTAACCATTACATCACGTCGAAGTGCTCTTAGATGCGGCACAAAAAGATTTTCAGTCGTAATTGTTCTAGTGAGAAAAGCTTGTTAACCATTACATCAGATGCGATTTTCACAGATGGCCGAAAGTGTGAAGCACTCAGTGAGGAT